GAGAGTTCTGTGTCGCAGTCCGCTCTGTACAGTTGGAAGCCAGCCAGCTGCAGCGTATTAGTATTAGTTCAGACAGCCAGGTCTCTGTGAATCACAGAACAGAAGATGAATAAAAGTTTGTTTTTCCCCACCAGAAGCTGAAGTTCGCCCAGTTTGTTGCACAGTGAGCGCAAGTTGGAGAGAAATATTGCCGGTAGCGCTGGCAAAGACGTGCAAGCGACCCGGCTCTTTTCCCTCTCCTGCAGCGCTTCACAGCGCGAACAACAGCGAGCAAGCTCCTTCACCAAAATGTCCAATAATTCCACTGATGACGCAAAAAAAGTGAAAATTAAATCCACTGGGAGTTGTTCCCCTGATGTTCATGATCTCTTCTCTGATAAAAGAGCACTGGGAATCACAGCCGAAAACTGAATTAACACACAAAAACAAAACAAAGCGCACCTAACACTGAGGCAGCTATACTCAGCGCCATCTTGGAACAGTATGGCCTGTACCAGAAGTTGGGTGGCATATTGAGTGAGGGTAGGGTGTGATTTTTCTGAGAGACAGCAGCAACATGGTCTGTAAAGGACAGCTGGTCATTAATCATGAGACCCAAGTTTCTCACCACCCTGGTTGGAGTGATGGTTGAGGAGCCAATTTTTAGTTTGATGTTGTGGTGGATAGATTGTTTGGCTTCTCCATTTGATAAGCAGTGCTGCAGGTTTCAAACATGGTAAGGGAGAATTAGCGGTGACATTGAGTGAAAATACAGTTAACAGTTTTACTGTATCACAATGGGCAAGACAGGCATTTGCATGGTAAATTACTCCATAATCCAATAAAACTGTAAGCTTGTAACAATAAAAAATATTTGAAACGGATCAACACAGAACAGAAAGCATGTCTATATTTCACATGACACATACCTAAACCAAAACACAGCCATCACAAAAGCATGCTGACAGAGCGTTGCACAGAAAAGCTTTATATGAAACTTCATACTTCACCTGAAGTCTGAGGTAATCAGGTCAGATGCTATTAGTGGTTCCCCACACAAATTTTAAGACCATAGGGGACCAATCATTTCAAGCAGTGGTCACAGAGGTGGAAATGAACTTTTTGGCTCACCTGCCAAGGTGGCTGGTAGAAAAAATCCACCGACAAAACATCTTTTACCGGCCAAAATAATAAATTGCCTTTCGTGTCACATATACATTAGTTCCGTGCTTTCCTGTCATGCTATATCATTCAACTTAAACCTCCACATCAGACTGCTCATTTCTACAATCACCCTCTTTTGGCCTCCTGGTTCTGACAGTCCTGGTGCCACAGAATCAAAGGTTTTGTGGGATCAACATTTTTACACAATTTATGGATCATTCTCCTTGATCTCTGGGGAGGACAGCAGAACCATTAGAAGATCTGACAGCATGTCAGACATCGACTGGACTGCCAACTACCCAGCTAAAAAGCTAAAAACACTCCCAGTTCCTAGCTCCTAACATTAGCTTTCGCGCTGCCTTATTTCACGGGGGTATTGCACCAATCTGCTGGTTTGCTGTACTTTATGAAAGGTATGGAGCAGATTTAATCCGCCTCTGAGCAGGGAAAGTTGGTGACAGACACGAGACAGAAAGACTGTTTGTGAAAAGCCACAGCCAACATCCTGTAAAGCTGGTCAAGTGAAAGCACTACTACTATACACAACTATAATGATTTCTACTTCTCAGCTGATTTATTACCTCAGTAAACACTTTCCTATTGAGTTTATGGTCTGAATTGCTACTTTCAAGTATTATTCAATACAACACCATGTTCATTTAGTAAATTATGGTCCCATTTAGAGGAAAAGACCATAAAGCTGAGTATGTTTCAGGACGGGATTATCTGTGATTAACAAGTCGTTACTATGGAGACCTTTCAATCAGGCTAGAGTGACTCATACCCACAGCACTGTGTAAATTTAACCAGCGCCATTGAAAAGGCTTATTAGGAGTTGACTTTCACTTTCTCTGGTGAGTACATTTAGTTTTAAGACTGTTGTTCGCTAGACAAAATTGTCAGCCCTGTTAAAGTGAGAGTTAACGTGAATTACAGAGGCACCTAGCTAAGCAAGCTAGCTAGCTCCACACAGGGCCCTTAGCTACACCGTCTCGTCCAAATATGGGCACGTCTGGTGCAGCTGGTTGCAAAAACTCAACATGGTGGTGCTCTATTGGCCAAACTGCGGCATTCAAAATGGCATTCCACAAACCAATGGGTGACGTCACAATGACTATGTCTGCTTCTTATATACAGTCTATTGGCTACAATCTCACTCTCCCCTCCTGACTCCTGTCACCTGCCCCCAAATGCCCACCCCTTACAAATCTATGGCAATCAAACACAAGTAACATGAAAAGAACAATGAACTACAAACGGAAAATTCACCCGGAATTGGCGGATGGCGAGTGTTAATTTTTATCCCTGAGTGGTACCTAGGCAGGGGAATGCATTGCCTCGTTTTGTACACTGTGTAAATTCTGTTGATTCCTTCATAAAGCAATTAACAAAGTTGCTATTCAAACAGGCAAACAAGAGTTTTATGTCTGATTTATGTTTTTCCTGTGTATTTATGTTTTTATGTAGTGTATCTCACTTGGTTGTATTGTATCGCACTTTATTGTGAAGCGATTTTTATGTGTGAAAGGTGCTATATAAATAAACTTACAAACATTACATTACAAATGAAAACACAATACCATTCCACAAAATAGGCCAACCAGAGGTTCAGATTGGCAAGTTTATGTAAATATAATAGGCTACTTTCATTGCTATATGCTGCAATGGACTGGCGACCTGTCCAGGGTGTACCCCCCTTTCGCCCGATGTAAGCTAGGATTGGCTCCAGGCCCCCGAAACCCTGTACGCAGGATAAGCGGTTGACGATGGATGGATGGATTGATTGCAATATACACATTGAAGAGTCCCTGTAGTCACTCCTCGTCTCCACACTGGTCCTGCAGCGACCCCGTTTTGGCGACACTGAAAGAAATGAGGATCAAAATCTACTGTCCTCATTCTGTGCAAAATGCTGTCTAGAGATTAGCCAAAGCTAACATGAGGTCTCAGTAGTTTCAGTCAGGCTAACTGAGTGGGTATCTTTGTCCTAGTAGTTGTGTTCTGATCATTTCACAATGTTAACCTTGTGTTTAATGTCATGTGACTCGCATCATGTGACTTGCGTAACGTAGTTGAGTTCGACTGGTACTTTGCAGGAAAGGCAATTTTATTTGTGTAGCACCTTCCAAACACTACAGTAATTCTTAGTGTTTTACAGACACAAAGATACAAAAACAGATACAAAGGTACTTTATAATCTAAAGCTAGATAATTAATGTGCAATAAATAATAAATCAAGATTAAAACAATAAACATCTATCTGTAAAAGTGCATTACATATGTGAGAGAGCGAAGAAAAATATAAATGAAAATAACATTTGCAATGGTTATATGTGTTGTCTTGGGAGTCACTGACAATTTGTCGTTTAGGTATGAGGACCTGTTGGTTAGTTCGGTTCATTTGGGCTGATATGAAAGCTGTCAATTGAACTGCCTACTGATCTTTGTGTGGCCAAACAACCGCAACGAGACCAGAAACGATGGATGATTTCTTCCCTTGTTCTGGACCAAATGAAACGGACTGCAGGTGTGAAAGGACCCTTAGAAGATAAGTCAAAACATGTTCTCCAGCAGCAGCTTGAGTCTTAAAAAGAATATTGTTAATCTCAGATGTCTGGACAGATAAAATGTTCATAATATGCTTGTAGCAAAGCCAAAAGTTTAAATCCAATATTTTCTCATATTGTGCTACTTTCCTGTGCTCAACTCTTTGCTGGAAGCTGCAATCTGTGGAAATATTACATTGAAACAGTATTTTTTTCCCTGGGCAAACATTTACCTTTCTTAGCAGAAGGTGGACATGAGTGGAACCACAAAAATACAACTCGCTGCTGAATAACAAGTAAAAATGTTGTTCTGATTTTACCCATAACATTTGCATATGAAAGGCTTTGTGACCGAATGACAGTAACGTTAGGACAACAGTGGGGCTAAACCTTCTGCTGCAGCTCAGCAAAGAATCACAGTCTGGACAATCACCAAAAAGGGAATTTTGTACTAAAACAACAGTAATTTTCGAAGCTTTCGCTGCATGTTGCTCTACGAAGCACAACCACCATCAGTAAGAAACAAAAATAGATACATACTACACACAACACCACATCTCACACAGAATTATTGAAAAAGCCTATAGCAGCAGGAACAAAATAGTTTTTGTTACTAGTGTTACGTATGAAGTTTGAGAAAGAAGTTGCAGTGGAGAAGATGTGTCAGGGCATTGAGTTGGAGAAAGTGCTGAGATATGAAACTGAACAGGCAAAGCTTGACTTGGAAAACCAGAAATTGAAGTTCATTAGAGAAGGGACAGTTGCAGCTGATGTCCTGTTAACTTGTAATTCTTCTGTGGTAGATAGAGGCAGTCTGATTTGAGTGATTTGAGGCTCATTCCCAGGTTTAATGAAAAAGATCCTGAAACTTTTTTCTCAATGTTTGAGCGTTTAGCAAAGGTACGGGGGTGCAGCTGAAGCCGCCGCTTTAGCTGATTATGTTTTGACTCATGGTGGAAGTAGCGGATGTCTTGGTTCACGGTTTGGACAGAGAGAAAATCCCTCTGCTGGAGGTGTGTGGTCTGGTAATTCAGGAAGAAATTTTGGGCGCGAGCAGAGTGAACAAAGTGTGTGTGTGCCGGAGAGACTCAATGATGTGCTGCACACTTCTTCAGCAAACATGTGGTAAATTTTGCCCCTTTTACGTTAACATGCTGTGAGCAGGAGCCAGACCTAAAACACCGACTACTCAGATACACTGTGAAGGGAAGGCTTTAAAGTTTCTTTGTCAATCATGTGTCTTACAAAGAAAATGCCTCCTAAGCACCAATAGAAGCCATGTTTTGCTTATAAACATATTTTCTGTGATGTCTACTCCGCTGTTGAAGAATAAAATACACAGCCAAAGAATTATGCTGTGAAAGACTTAACTATCATATAAACAATGATTGCCTTTAAAAAGACTAACAACATAGAATTTAAACTAACCACTGAAAGTCAGTAAGGACACCACATTTTGTTAGCATTAAGTTCTAACAAACAGCTCTGTGAATTCACAAGCTATAATATTAGCATCTTGAATCAAATCAATGTCAGGCACTTCACACCTGGTTTCACTAGTAAACCACCACAAGAATGACAATTGAAGTGAAGAAAGTTTTGTTAAAATTTGCTAAAGTCTTCTATTTGCTTGAAACACAAGTAACTTTGTGATTTATGTTTTGTTAATCATGTCAGCTTGGAATGGTGTCTTTTGTTAATTGTCACTACTACTATTGAAACCAGGAGTGAAGTGCACTTGCTTCTGTGTCCATTCAGGCTATGGTAGGTCAAGGGGAGGAGGATTTGTTAGGCTCAGATGAAGCGGTGCTATATGGTTTGCTTAAGAACTCAGAGTCTATGCGGAATCTGGATGGCTTGTTAAGCCATTTGGAGGAGTCTCTGCGTAGCCATTTAGCTGACCTGATCAAGCAATATCCAGGTCTGTTTGGTGATACCCCTACCCGCACACATTTGGTTGAGCATGATATAGATGTTGGGGATTGTAAACCGATTAAGCAGAGGTTTTATCGTGTTCACCCAGACAAACGTAAACATTTGGATGCTGAGGTTAAGTATATGCTGCAGAACGGTATCGCAGAGCCCTCCAGTTGCAGTTGGGCGTCACCTTGTTGGCTTGTGCCAAAGTCCGATAACACTCCCAGATTTTACAGACTTTAGGAAGGTAAATAATGTCACAAAACCAGACTGTTTTCCCAACACAGTCTCACTCCCTACTCGTCAAATGTCTGACGCATGGTCAAGGCCCTTTGTCGTCGCTTTTTAAAGACTTGGTGTGATGGCCACAGCCGTGGCCTCACAACCAGATGAAGAGCGGTAACCTCATGCACTGACTTTGTTGTGTTCTTTAAGATTAGTTTATATACATTCATACACATTAGACAGTTTGTAGTAAATATTTATTTGGTTACAAATAAACTTACAGGACACTTAGTTTATTTCACATATTTTATTTTAGTTGACTATACAGAAGCATCTTTTGGAACACACACCATTAGTTACTTTTGGATTTTCATTTTGTTATAATTCTTGTTTCCGAGCTTACTAGTGTTGGATGCCACATCCAGGAAGTCTGCTGGCTTAAAGGGTTGGTGCTCGGAGCAGGAGCAGCTTTATAGGAGAGGTGGCCTGATTGGACACTACCACTGCTTGCTATGTCTGGGGGGTGGCTTTATTCTCTCCTTAAATATTTTGGGGTTTAGATTTATATTATATTTGAGTATTTTTGAGTTAAGGTTAAGTAAATGTACATTTCTTTTGGAATAAGTTTTTACATAAGTTTTGTTGTGTTTGCAGTTATGATGTGTTGTTGTTGTTGTTGTTAGTCTTCCCCTGTGTGTCAAAATTGGTCTGATCAGCCAATATATAAGTCCCCTTTGTTTGTTGTATAGTAGGTCAGTTGTATTTTTGAGTCTCTTATGTTCAGAGCTTTTGTTTGTTTGACCTCTTTTAAGGGCCCAAAACTTTATCTTTTGTTGTAATGATTTTTTTGGTAAATAAAACCCTTTTGCTTTAAATTTCCCTCTTGACTCCTCATGCCTAACTGCCTGGTCCCTCACACTTGGGTAGCCCTTTTGCATCAATTATTGACGTTTAGGGATCCACAGTCAAGTTAGCAACGCTTAGCAACAATAAATATGCAATATCCGGTTACACTTTCAAGATAAAACGTAACGTTTCGATATATTGCCATGTTGAAACGCGCATAATTAAAGTCGTGAAACGTTGCAGTTTCGTTAGGTTTAGGCACAGAAAGTACTTGGTTAGGTTTAGGCAACAAAACTACTTGGTTAAGGTTAGGAAAAGATCATGGTTTGGGTTAAAATAGCTATGTATGTCAATTAAGACTTAAGTTAACTAACGTTAATGTCAATTTACCTCACTCGCCTAAATAAAAACATTTAATGTTTTGTTTCGCACGGGACACAAACCCTGTTCTCCTGCTTCAAGGTCCGGGTTCTGGCCCTCTATCCACCCCAATCACCTCCTTACTTCGTCTTTTCTCTTAAATATCATACTTGCCTTTACCATCAAAAACTGACACAACAGGGCTTCCCTCAATACGTCGAACTATGACGTCAAAGGGATCCCTAGTGCGTCACAAACTGACGATTATGGCTCTTGACCAAGCGTCCATATGTGACGACTTGGGAGTGAGAACAGGTTGGTTTTCCGCTGGTGGTTTGTTAGCCAGGGTTACCTATGGGACCCTAACTTTGGGGGGTGGTGAGCCCAACCTATTTAGGCCTGCCTTCCCAGACACAAGTGTCAGTGTTTGGGCCTTCCACACCGCTCTACCACATTGTTCTTTTGTGTTTTATTTTAAGTAAATTTATGTTTACGATAAACATGCGTTGTGATTTAAAAAATTTTTTTTACAGAGAGCATCAACTTGTGGTTGAAGGTGAGTTTGTCATCGATTATTGTATTGCTTCACCACTTCGATAGCTTGATCATTGAGGGTAGAAGAGAGGGTGGGGGGATTCTTTCTTTGGCTTTTTCCACATTAATGTTACAAAAAGACAACTTGCACCACTCTGTAAAATCATTTAAAATAGCGCCAGGCTCAGGGTCGTTGTGCGTCAGCAGCGACACTATTAACAAGGCATCAGCAAACTTAATGAGAAATATAAAATAAGATCACAGAGAGGACACATCCAGTAAAATGCTATTCACTCATGCGTTAACAGAGTTCATCAACCAACAGATAAGATTAGGATTGATAGTAGATGCATCTACAATCTGTAATTCAACACATTGTAGGTTGAAGTGATTTCCTGATAGAAAGAGAGAGAGAGAGAGAGAGAGAGAGAGAGAGAAAGAGAGAGTTATAGATAAAAATGTATATATATATTTTTTTTTTGTGTACTTACACTGAACATCTATGTATACAGATGTGGAGTTCATCTGGCCAAACTCATTCTCAGCCTTGCAGTGGTAGATCCCGCTGTCCTTAGAGCTGATAGAGGTGAAATGATAAATGTCCTCTGGTCTCTGATTCAGTGTTTGATTCCCCTTGTACCAGGTGTATTTAGCTGCTGGGTTAGCATCACTGCTGCAGGTCAGAGTCACTGAACTGCCCTCCACTATCTCAGCAGAGGGACTCACTGACACAGAGGGAAGCTTTGGAGCATCTGGGGGACAAAAGAGAGACAACGTATCAATTTCTGTTAACAGACCTGTGCTTAAACATGTACTGTCTGCCACAAGCTAAGAGGAGAAATTTGACTCAGGATTGTACATTGCTCACGATGTGCTTACTTACACAATAATAAAATAATAATATAATAATAAAATAAAATCAGACACAAACTACAGAGTAGACAACACTAATATACACACTATGAACAAAACAATATAGACATTTTGACAAATAGTGCAGTGATCAGAGTGCAAAGGATGCAAGAGCAAACTATTCTCATTATGTACATGTTGAAGGTGGATATGATATACAGGTACACATACACATACATGCATATATGTACACATGTACACAGTGTGATGGAGCATAGTGCAAAGGATGCTGGAAAAAATAAATAAGACCTATGACCTGAGGTAGGTGTATTGGTATACAGTATATAGAATATGACATAGTATGAACAGCACTGAAATAGAGAATGATAAATAAAAAATAAGTGGAAACCAGTAAACAGGTGCTGATTAGAGACAGAGTTACTGGGTTATTGCACAGGAATTTTTCCTGCCACTGTGAGTCAGAAATCAGCTGTTCATCAGAGTGATGGCTTGTGGGAAGAAACTGTTCCTGAGTCTGTTGGTTTTGGCGTACAGTGCTCTGTAGCGCCTACCAGAGGGGAGGAGCTGGAACAGGTTGTGTCCGGGGTGAGATGGATCTGCAGTGATGTTTCCTGCCTGTTTCCTGACTCTGGAAATGTAGAAGTCCTGAATGGAGGGCAGGTTGGCACCGATGATCTTTTCTGCAGTCCTGGCTGTCCGTTGTAGTCTGCTCCTGTCCTTTTTGCTGGCAGATCCAAACCAGACAGTGATGGAGGTGCAGAGAACAGACTGGATGATGGCTGTGTAGAAGTGGATCCGCAGCTCCTTAGCTGACGTAGGAAGTACATCCTTTGGACCTGGAGCGTGTTAAGCGCCAGGTTGTTCTGACCGCACCAGAGAGCCAGCTGATCAACCTCCCATCTGTAGGCCGACTCATCACTGTCCCGGATGAGGCCAATGACCGCTGTGTCGTCAGCGAACTTGAGGAGTTTGACAGATGGGTCTCCTGAGGTGCAGTCGTTGGTGTAGAGGGAGAAGAGCAGTGGGGAGAGCACACACCCCTGGGGGGCGCCAGTGCTGATAGTGCTGGATGTGATGTTCACCAGCCTCACCTGCTGACTCCTGTCAGTCAGGAAGTCTGTGATCTACTGTCAGGTGGAGGCACAGTGAGCTGGGTGAGTTTGGTGCTGAGGATGTCCGGGATGATGGTGTCGAACGCCGAGCTGAAGTCCACGAACAGGATCCTTGCATATGTCCCTGGAGAGTCGAGGTGTTGCAGGATGTGATGTAGACCCAAGTTGACAGCATCATCCACAGACCTGTTAGCCCTGTAGGCAAACTACAGGGGGTCCAGCAGGGGGCCTGTAATGTCCTCCAGGTGGGCCAACACCAGTCTTTCAAAGGACTTCATGACTACAGATGTCAGGGCGACAGGCCTGTAGTCATTCAGTCCAGAAATGGAAGGTTTTTTTGGGACCGGGATGACTGTGAAGCGTTACAGCTGTGGAGTATGAGGGAATTTCACACAGCTCCAGGGATCTGTTGAAGATGGGGGCCAGCTGGTCCGCACAGATTTTCAGGTACGATGGTGAGACACCATCTTCCTGATCTTCTGCCTTTGGAAGAGGTGGCTCTCGTCCTCTTCACAGATCTTGAGTGCAGGCGAGAGGTCAGAGGGGGAAGGTGACTGTTTGAAGATAGCGTTGGAGTGGGGGAGAGGTATGACTCTGGGCTTTTCAAACCTACAGTAGAAACCATTCAGCTCGTCTGCCAGTCGTTGAGTACCAGCAGTGTTGGGGATGGTCTCTGGGAGTTTGTGAGTGTCCGTAGGCTTCCCCACACTGACGCAGGGTTGTTGGCTGCAAAGCTGTTATTTAGCTTTTCAGCGTAGCTCCTCCTTGCTGCTTTGACCTCCTTAGTCATTGTGTTCCTGGCCTGGTTGTACAAGACTCTGTTTCCCCTTCTGAAGGCCTCCTCCTTGGTCTGACGAAGCTGCCTGAGTTTCGCTGTGAACCAGGGTTTTTGGTTGTTGTATGTGCGGAAGGTTTTAGTCGGCACACACATGTCCTCACAAAAACTGATGTAAGATGTCACAGTGTCAGTTAGTTCGTCCAGGTCAGTGGCTGCAGCCTCAAAAACACTCCAGTCAGTGCAGTCAAAGCAGGCCTGTAACTTCAGCTTTGACTTGTTGGTCCATCTTTTCACGGTCTTTACAACAGGTTTAGCAGATTTCAGTTTTTGCCTGTGTGTCGGGATAAGATGAACCAGACAGTTATCAGAGAGTCCCAAGGCTGCACAGGGAACAGAGCGATAGGCGTCCTTTAATGTAGTGTAGCAGTGGTCCAGTGTGTTAGTGTCCCTGGTGGGAGACTTAAAATGCCGTCTGTATTTTGGGAGTTCATGACTGAGGTTTGCTTTATTAAAGTCCCCAAGAACAACCAGCAGGGATTCTGGGTGTTTTTCTCCACGTTAGTTATCTGGTCGGCCAGGTCTAGTAACGCCTCACTAACACAGACATGAGGTAGAAAGTAAACAGCGACCAGGACAAACGAGGAAAACTTCCGTGGTGAATAAAACGGTTTACAGCTTATAAATAATGTCTCTAGGTGAGGGTTGCACGATTTCTTCAACACTGTAACATCTGTGCACCAACCTTCGTTTATATAGAAACAGAGTCCGCCTCCCCTTGTTTTTCCCGTGAGCTCCCTTTCGCGTTCCGCACAGATGAGATAAAATCCCGTAGATGAAGTGCGCTGTCCGGGATGTGCTTGGTGAGCCAGGATTCGGTGAAACAGAGGGCAGCAGATCTGCAGAAGATTTGGTTCTGTTCAGGAGCAGAAGTTCGTCCATTTTGTTGGCCAGAGAGCGTATATTCGCCAGGTGGATTGAAAGGAGCGCAGTGCGAAATCCCCGCTGTCTCAGTTTAACCAGCGCGCCTGCTCATTTTCCCCTGCGCCGGTTCAGAAGGATCCCAAACAGCTCCTCCAACTAATAACTCCGGGAAAATTCCAGGGTCAATAAAGAGCGGTGGAATGGTATGAGCAGGTGAAAGTCCAATGTTTAAGAGCTCTTCTCTGGTAAAAGTTACCAGAGAGGGACAGCAGAAAACAGTGTTAATTAACAAAAAAACAAAAAGCACTACGGATCGTAATCCCGAGGCGGCCGTCTGCGGCGCCATCTTGGAGATCAATCAATTAATCAATTAACTCCAACAATTATCTTATTGCATGTTAACACAGTTTAAAAAAAAAGTAATTTAAAGTCCGTTGCTCACTGGCTCTGAATACACATACAGTCAAATCACGGGTCATAGGAGGGGTGGGATGTTGATCAGCTTGCAAATCATTCACCCAAACAAGCAGTGGAGGGAGGCTTCGGCAGACTACTTGGATGCAGCGTGTGGAAGAAGTAAGACAAGCGCTCCACGAGTAAACAGCAGACTGTCTATTAAGAGTAACCATGGCAATGGCTTCCAAGTTAAAATTAGAGGTTACATAACTTTACTTGACAGGCCTTCATCTAGTTTTGCAGGAATGCTCTGCCATGTGAATTCCCTCCTGTTGATGTTGTAGAGTTTAAAATTTTTTAAATTCATCTTAGAAAGACATTCCAGATGTTTTCCATTTTAAAGAGTTTTTGTGAAGTAATAAGTGGTTGTTTCAAACATTATGTTCCACTTGTGGATAAACAACACCACCCTACAGTGATATTGCATGATATGATTGTCTTATATGCTTACTTATTACTTATGATTGCTCATATGATACTCAGTATTGTGTGACATGCTTATCTTGGGTAACTCAGCAGTTAAGACAGTAGGCTTGTGCTGAATAACAGGAAACCGGGCCCTGACAATAATACACTCTGACACACTTCACACTTTTCTGAATACAGTGTCACACGCACACACTCACATGACAGCCCTTAAGGCACACTAGAAATATTCTACACCTATTGACAACTTCCATATAAGGTAACAAGGGATGTGCAGCTGGGTGATGTCTCATCAACACATACACAGCTTAGCGGAAGAGCAGTCAGACCCTTACTTTGGTAGCGTGCAGGAAGGGTCTCCAGATATATCTGTCTCAATAAAGGTGTGGTTTGAATCTGATCTCTCGTCTCCTCTAAGTCCTTTTCCATCAAACAACTCGGGGAAGTTGTTGTACTTCAACACACTGTAGTGGACAACAGTGTGGATTTGTGCATTTTATATTAAATAAATTTGAACTACTCAAAACTATTCCCCTCTCCCTGTGAGAGAGGAGCAGGGAGGTTGAGATCAACTTTCAACAGACGGCTGAAGAGACCCCAACAGAATGGAGGTGGAAAGGTCACTTTCCCTAAGTGCTATTCATGAGCAGTTGATCGTAAAACTGGCCACCTTTGGCAACAGCCGAGATAAGCCTCTTGGTGCCTGAATTGTTAAAATGACAAAGAAACTAACCAGAGATTACAAACAGCCTATCAGAACTCCCCTTTTTTAGGCCAGACAATTGCATTAGAATGTTAATTAAACCATTGTTTATCTCCTCTTTGTAATGTGAAGGAAACTGACACCTCTTTCTTTAGTGCCAGAAGGATTCTTTTAACTGTTTCTCAGACATCTAAAAAGAACAGTAAGGTACACCCTTCCTAATTGGGTGACGAAGAAGTTAACCAAACGACCAATGACTATGGACCTAAGGAGGAAAAAGGGTCCGCCCACATACCTGGAGGATATAAAAAAACTCATTTTGTGAGAATCGGGACTGAAAGGTGTAAATCTGAAAGGAGGACCAACTTTTCAGTCCACTGCAGTGTTCTGTAATGCCATCTCTTTATTCACTAATTTTTGTAATTAAGTCTTTTGTTAATTTTGATTTGGACCCAGCCTCTCCTTTCTCAAAATCTGAAAAACGCAACAATGTCCTGCTAACTATTTAATAAACAGTAATAGATTCTGGAAACTCACAAACAGCAAGGATCAGTCTCTCTTCCAATGATATGTGGTGCATATCCAGTACAAAAAGTGCAAGACAATTCAACTTCGTGTGCGTGAGGCGAGCACCACTGCGACAGTTTCACGGAACGCACCTGCTTGTTGCTACACCTTGTGCTCGACCACTTCACCTCACTCTAACAGGGACACTTCTGCTGACACCTGTTCAGAACCCCCAGCCCCCCAAGAAAACTGGACTCTGATGGTAACTTGTTTTAACAAGCTAGATAAAAGTGTGTGCAACACACTGCTTTACAATTCATTATTCAATTTTGCGCCTAACTATACGATTAATCACAACTTAAAATTTGAATCGTTGCCCAGCACTAGTAAATAATTTAAATGGTAAATCCATTTTAACATTTTACTATGCAATGTCAAAAGTTAAAGACAATAACAATAACAATATCCATTCTGTCTCAGTCAAAAACTGTTCAGTTAACTCTAATTGAGAGCTACTGGCTTTCACATCTTCATTAAAAGTAATGGAGCATCTCAATCTCAAGAATTTCACACAATAGGAAATAATTTCAGTTTGTTATATCACAACATGTATCTGAATAGTACTTTTCTACTGGTAATATTTTTTTCTTTCTATAAATATTTTTTCTTTCTATAATAATGTTGCTGCGTCTACAGTAAGATACTGGTCACCAGCCTGGTCACAAACTGCTGTGGGATGGCATCCCATTCTTCAACCAGCATTTGTGACAAATAAAAACAAATACATTTATATATATATATATATATATATATATATATAATCAACAGCAATGAAAAGCTGTTGGCATTGTCAGAGAAGATTTGACAAATTTTTCATGAGCACAACCCACACACTCTACACAAGTAATGACTGCACTTTCATTACTTTTTGTGTTAAGTCTAGAAGACTCCATTATATTTTAAATTGCAATGTTGTTATTGTAATGTCAGTGCATAAGCATGTTTTTTTCCTGACACAGTGGAGTAAACTCACACACTGAAGGAGAGCGGAAATCCTCATGTCCTTTTACAGCACAGGAGATGATGTCTCCAGGATAAAACTGATATTTATAAGAAGATGTCTCCACTCTTTCCATTTTCTGTCCGTTCTTGAACCAGACGTAGGAAGAACGATCAGGTAGATGACAGCTGTTGTGACAAAGCAGCTCTGCCTCTGTATAATTCTGTTGGACTGTTGATCTGATCACCTGCAGCTGAAGATCTGTGAAGAAGGAACAGGGATTTCATTTTAGATAAAACTTAAAACAACTTAAAAACTTAAAAACATACACACATGAATATACACACTCAACACATTTATATTATATATAGTTTTATAGATGTTGAACATTTGAAAATAAGTAACATATGAATATGAAAGTGTTACCTGTGACAGACAAAGTGACTCCAGGTGAACCATAGAAACTTCCACCTTGTTGGTTTGTTATGAACCTGAACTTGTACTGAGCTGAGTCGCTCTCTCTCAGGTCTGTGATTCTCAGAGTGCAGATGTTGTTAGAACAATTGTACTGCAAACGACCTGCGTATCTTGAGTCTGTTCTCAGATCCGTATATACATTTCCGGTTGTTTGAGTAAACCAGAATGTTTTCTCAACTGTAGTATCACGGTCATTTATTCTGGATGGGTATGTGTAGGTGCAGCTTATTTCCACTGTTGATCCTTTTAAGGCACAGATCTGAGTAGAGGTGTAAGTCACTCCCCAACCATTCTGAGCCTGTATCACTGTAACACAGAGCACATCAGAAACTACAGTCAGACTCAACAACATCAGGAGGACTTTCATTTGTAGTGGAGGTGCTTCAGTGTGTGAAGCCCTCATGCCATTCCACTTTAAGTCAGTGAGAGACAAAGATAATCTCAACCCGTTCTCACTCTCCGACTCGTCACATATGAAGTAAGTTAACTTACGTGTTATCTGACATACGTAGTTATTTTAACCCAAAGCATGATCTTTTCCTAACCTTAACCAAGTACTTTTTGTGTCTAAACCTAACCAAACTGCCATGTTTCACGACTTTAATAACATGTGTGGGACCCGCAGTAATGTTGGCCTTGTTAATGGACTGTGTTGGGCATGTTGATGGACACATAACAGTGGGCACCCCCATTCTAATGCAGTTTTAGTTGTTTTGATTTTGCTTTAGTAACCTGATGTATGTGCTATTGTACAATAACAACTGTAATATTTTAGTAGGTCAGTTTATGGGTATAATGTGTAAGGCTCACACAGGCACTTTGGGCTGCGTGTGGGGTCCTTCGGGTTAGACAGTAGGGCACACACGTCAGTCAGTAGACCAAAACAGCCTGCTGTACGTAGAGACAACGTTCTGCTGATGTGCTTGTGTTTCTGTATTCACAGAATACGAAAGTAAAGGAGTTATTGTAAACTTATGCACGCCTGGAAGTCCCTTTTGTGTCCAAGTGTGCAACACATGGCGTTTCAAAATGGCGATGTTTTGAAATGCTACCGATTTATTTTGAAAGTCTAACCGGACATTGCATATTTATTCTTGCTAACTTTATCGGACGTTGCATATTTGTTTTTGCTAAGCATTGCTAACTTGACCGCAGATCCTTAAACGTCTACAAATGACGCTAATGGGCCTTGACCAAGTGTCAATATGTGACGAGTCAGGAGTGAGAATGTGATGATAATCTCATAGTACCAAAATGTTTTAGAGGAGCATGAAAATTCAATTATAACTGAGCGTAAGATTTTTTTCTGTATCGCACACATTTTCTTATATTTCTGCTTCTGTGTTGGGGACTTTTACCATCTCTTTTTAGAATGGAAAGGAAGACTCAGTAAATCCCTAAGCGTGCTGAGGCAGGACATCATACAGAGGGTGCAGTGCAGGCATGGGCGCCATATATATATAGGGGGGAAAAGTTAGGACAATTCCAAAGTTCCCTGACTGACAGGAGCCCCAAAAAATAATTATAATCTAATATCAAATTATATTATACATTATATAAACCATCATCATTGAGTATAAATATATTTCAAATAGAATAATACAATTAATGATCTCTTTGTTTTGGCAATAGAAGTTAAATATTCCCATTGACCAAAAAGTAAACATAGATATTGACAGACCACCCATCTGCATCTGCATGAAATGGTTTGGTCCTGCCTCATCAGCTCACTGTATCAGTGACTTGTTTAGTTGCAGTCAGTAGATGCGTCAGAAATACAGTGAACACAATGTTGCCTAGTAAACCAAAATCTGGTTTTCAAAAAAGGAAAGAGAGAAGAGAGAGGAAAGACAAAGGAAAGGATGTCACTCTGTAACCCAGTTTTCCCCCAAGCCGTTAGTCTGTAAGTGGTGTTAGCCTGTTGGCTTAATGTCCACAGTAAAATAAGCTAGCTACAGACTAGTGTTAGCCTACATCAGGGGTATTCAAGTAGATTTCAAAGAGGTCTAGTTAGAGAAAATTTCCCGAAGCAAAGGTCCGGAACATCAAAACGACGAACGTTATCATTCAGTACTATAACCTATAGTTGTATCAACACATGTTTTCAGTCAACAACGGACTGTCAAATCAAATAATATTTCAGTCAGTTTTCACATCAAACTGGAAGGATAATAAATAATAACTATTCAAATAATAAATTCTAAATTTAAGTAAACTAAATTAAAGTGCCTAATTTTTAGAAAAAATGTAATAAAAAGTGTAGCTTGAAGTGATGAAGTGTAGTCTTAACCAATTTTATAATAAACACACAACTGAACAGCTGTAAAGCCTCCTCTTCTCTTTCATTTCCTCTTACAGAGCTACCACTTTCCTACTTTCTGTTGTTCAGTGAGAAACGTGAGCTCCAGCTAGCATATTGGAGATCTATGAGATATTCTGGTTTTGAACTGCCCGTGGGAGGAATGTACATGTAAAAATCTGTACATTCTTGATTAAAAGTCATGTGAAATCTCTTTTATCTTTCGTCTCCTCAATTCGGGTGTGTTTCCAAAACGTCTCTGGTGAATCTCGCGGACTCGACTCGCAAGCATCGGTATGCACAGATTTGATTGGCTGAGCAGCGTCACATGAGACGATTGGAGCACATGCGATTGGTCTGTGAGTTTCCTGGTCCTCTAAACCAGTACAGTAAATGCTAGAAAAGCTGCGCGGGTTAAAATAGAAACGCTCCGTCACGAGGTAGTAAGTCTCAATAATAAATGGGCTGTAGGTCGGCGGTCCGGAGAGGACGGCGGCTGGGTCCGGATCCGGACCGCGGTCCGCCTATTAGTGACCTCTGGCCTATATCCTCAACAAAACGTTTAGCAAGATATTCATATTAAATCATTGTCCCTGCCCCTTTTAGCAGACTAACAACAGATGAGTCTCTGTAGCCTCCCTGTCCCAGTGAAGAAAGTGAGCAACACTGTGTTCATGACAGGCCAGTTAGCATCATTCAGGGAGTCTGTGGGGATTTCTCTGTCTCTCTTTTTACCATAACAAAAAGAAAATGAAAGATTTATTAATGACAGAAATTCAAACACAGATTATTTTCTCACATAATGATCATTATGAAATAAATAAAATAAAAACACCTTCCTGTCTGCACTGGATGCTGGACAGCAGCTTACCTCAGCCTGCATGTAAGTTACAGACTATATTAAAATAATTCAGTTTGATACGTTCATTTAGACTGAATTATGGCCGTTAGTGACATGTATAGATACAGACTTATTATTCCCATCATGAAGGGCAATTTAGTTGAGAAGCAAATAGTGAACTGCATCCTGTAAGCATACTTGCATGTACAAATCACCAGCAGTAAATATTGTGCTAGTACTAATATTTAACTACAAGAAGCCAGACACTTGCAAGCCTTTAATTAGAGTTATGTAAAGCTTTTGATGTGACAGTTAAGTCCTAGAGAAGTAGTGACAACAGCTGCGCTGTCCAATTAGATTTTTTTGTCATGGGGCCCAAAATTCCTGGCGGCCCCCCTGAGTGCCGGAACAGCAATGTATTGAAACTGTGAACTTAAACAACATTAACAAAAAGCATGAGGGCAGTAATACATGGCTGCTGCAGAGTGTGAATGGAAACTTTAGAGGAATGCAGAACACTGAGACGTGAGCAACTACTGTGACATGTAGATAACAAACCACTTATTCTAGAGAGAGAAATAACTACTGAGGAACTTTGGCTGATCCCCATGTCTGGAATATCTGTCAGTAAATCTGTGACATATTCAATAATATCTGGAATACAATTTAATTTAACACTCCCTTAATTTTACAGTTGGTTGTAGTTAGAATGTGGAAAATTCTCTTTTCAGAGTTTATTTCCAGTCAGCAGCAGCAGCACACCGAGCTTAGTCAATGTTTGTAGGTGGGGAAGACGAAGAGAAATATCTGTCTCCTTAGCAGCTAGATGCCTCCGAATTGAGTTTACAGAGTGCTGAATTTTATTTATAACAAAGTATTCAGAGGCTTGTTTTGTTTGTACAGTAATTCTGTCTATCCACACATATATAGTTAACTGTCTTTAATGTTGCACGATACTTCAGTTTATAAAGATTATGATGTTATGGTAAGATAAGTTTACAGAAATGCTGCTGGTCTCCAAAACAGCTCTCTGTTGGACGTCTTGTAAAGAGTTCAATTGAAAGAGAGAAGTTAGTGTCTGGTGTTGCAGGGGTCGCACCACATTGCATAACATCACATATCAAATCTATTTATTTACTAAGAAACCCACTTCCCTGTGTGCTAACACAATATAAAGATGTCCAGTACCTTGTACAGACAGAAGGAAGACAACAAATCCACTTGCTGCTGCTGTTAAACTCATAGCTGCTTCTCACGTCTGTTAAATCACATCAGCAGGTAGATCAGATACATGAGAAGTCCTGCATGTCAGTTAGTCACAATGAACATTTCTAATGAAAAAGGGAGGAAGCTGTCTTTGAGGACAGTTTGTCTCTGTGCTTAATACAGTTTTCTAAAAACAGACTTTGAGGTGTTAAAAGCTGAGCTGACTTTCTTCCTGTTTACATAATTAATATGCAGGATGTATTAAGCTATAGATGACAACTTGTACATCTCCAAGTTGAAATGAAGAAATGATTGTTACTGGTTGTTTGCTAATGTTGCATGTGTAGCGGAGTTAATGATTCTACTTGCCATCACTTATTTTTTTACAGTTAACCACTTTTTTATACTGTGTATTTTATTATGTATTTTTCAGAATAATGG